TGTATAAACAACCCCCACCCGGGTGATCAAGGTACAGTGCAAGGATTTTAATAAACTTTGTTGCAGATTTCTACCAGTTTCTAAGCTGTTCATCTCACCATGTCCTTTCCAAAATGATTCCTGAAGGAGATGGTCAGGGTTCATTATAACCACCTCGTGACATTTCAGTGTTCTAATGAGGACAGCTGCAGTGTCATCATCGCTTTAGAAGTAGTTAACACCTAGGCCCCTTTCACAGAGGTGTCTGTCAGTTCAGATCCACAGGGGATCCGTACACATATCCCCTGCTGATTGAAGCAGTTCAGAATGGCTGTCACTGTCCATTCCAAGCTGAACTTACTGGACCCACGTTGGTCTATGTGCAGTTGGAGGTAAGAAGATGTTCACATCAGATTATCCCCAATCTGTCACGATCAGGTACACTTAAAACTAAACTCTGTTTTGTTTTTCGGACCTGGCTGGAGTCGGAGGTCATCGGTTCCGGTTGCCCATAGACTTTTAGGTTCTGATCAGATCTGTCTAAAAAACTGACAGATGGACCTGATCGGACCCCCCGTGTGTAAGGGGCTTTAGAGTAAATATTACTCATATCTTAGTGCAGACTTCTGGAAAAAAATCTGTGAGGACAAAAACAGGAAATTACATTTCGGCGGGCTTTCCATATTGCATTAAGTTTTTAGAAAATTACAGCGGCATTAGATTGAAAAAAAGGTCATTTTTAATAACATTAAATTACTAAATGGCTTGTGTAGCAATTTTATATGCTGTACAATTTTTTTCAATGAAAGTGGAGTTTTCCTTTAAATAATATTTAAACAAAATATATGATAGTTTGGGTTTGGAACCACCCAGTCATAAAAAATAAACTGCTAACAACCAGTTAATTGTAAAAGAAGACTGTGTACTGACCTATCCCGCAGTTTGCATCACAGAACTCCTTTCCTACGCATTGACATTGAGCAATGAAGTGCAGTTTGGCAACATATTTTTATTTTAAGTCACCTTAAAGGATAACTAAACTTCATGCAACTAAACCCTTACAGTACCTCCTCACCTTCCCCATTCAACCTATATGTTTTACCTACCTTCGTTTAGTACCCAGAGCTCCAGTCCACCCCAGAGCCAGCAGGTCATATGTGTCCTCTTCTCCATAGACCTCAAAGGAAAAGCCATCTCCCTGCAGGCTTGTAAGTTGCTCATGGGCTGTAGTTTATATAACACTATGGCAAGATAAAAAGTTGAATAAAACAATGAAATCCAACAATTACTGATAATACATTAACAGAAAAATAAAGATTTACAGTACAAAGATTTTAAGATAACCATTTGTCATAACTTAGCGTAGTTACCGTAAATCTGTCATTTGAAAATCCAATAAATAAACAAATGTTGTGATTAATTGTTTTTAGTAAATAATTTGCATTGGATTTTCCTGTTGTTCATTGCCTACCAATAATTGTTTTTACATGTAACACCCTGCTCTCATTTCTTGGCACACTGTGCATTAGAATTTACAGGGGATTTCCCTTCACTTCCTGTGGTGTCTACAGGGCAAGAAGAGACGAAATATCTCCCCAATGGAAAACAGATGGCTAAATAAACCTGACAAAAGTTTTAAGCATTTCCTACACCATCCAAAATGAAAAAATAATGGCTTTAGATATGTTTTAATACTGTCAACTCAACTAAAAAGCAGCTTCTTTCCCTTCAGTCCATTGTTTGGTCTCCTCTTATTGCCCAATCCCACTCATACTTATCTTGTTCATATGGCCATGCGTGAGTGTGTGTGCGTATTACACATAATTTACTATTCTAAAACTGCTAAGAGATCAGATTAATTCACAAAGCATAAAGTTTACCCAACCTATTTTACATTTTCACATGTGCCTAAAACATTTGTTTCTAGGCTTTTACATGTAACTTGATACAGTATAGACACACTGAGGGGAATTTATCAAAACTGAAGCGGCTGTGCATGGCAACCAGAGGGAGGTTGTGGGTGGAGTATCCTAATAACTGTTGGTTTAAAAAAAAAAGTTGTTTTCAGCTGTATGGATAAGCGGTGTGCTCCATCATTTGCAAGGGAAGATTGTTTATAAAGTGATGGGCCAGTGCAAATAAAGTAGTGCAGCATAGGACCCGGGATGTGTATCATGGATTTGTGAAAGCACCCCTAGGTAGCTGCTTTTAAAACTTGCTGCCAGTGTAATAGGTTTAACGACCTGGCAGGATTACTTAACACAGTAGCGGTTCTAGGGAAGCAGAATGAGATAGTCAGTCCAGAGTTCCCACTGCCTGATTAGATGTCTAGTATACAGAGCAAGTCCTAGTCTCACCATACATAATTTGTTTCTAAAAAAACAAACCTGTTACCTATAAATATTAAAAAAAAGGAAGGATAGAAAATGTTTTCTTAAATGAAAAAAAATTCTAACAGTGAATGTGGTTTTTGTTCATTTCCAAAATCCAATGTGTAAACAAAACGACATTTTGAACAACGTTCATGTCTCTGATGGCGTTATCAAATGTTCAGATGAGATTTTGTTATGTGAACGCTTGTACAAATATCTATCAGTATCTGGCCAGCTTTAGAGCACCATTATCAGGATTAACAGTTCTAGAGACACCTCCACAGCTTAGTGCTGGACTTTGGGTTTCAGTAACACCAGCAAGACCTGCCGCAGCCACTTACACCAGACTCTTTTTTTAAAGCGTGCTTGAAGAGAGAAAAACTAATGCAGCCTTGTATTAAAATACTGGCAGGGAAATATGAGGTCCAGAAAGATGGTCTTTATCATCATGATCAGATTACATGTTCCTAAAGGATCACAAACTTTCTCACAATTGGGAGACACTAGACTATCAATAAGCTGTTGGATGAGCATTAATAAAAATGTTTTGATAGTTTATATTTAGCAGTTAAACAATATTCCACATGTCTATGGATGATGGGATTTATTTTTACATTCCTGCAGTGTTTAGCTGGATACTACTACCTAAAAGCACGTGAACAGGTGTCCCACAAGTATCTGAAACATCTCACAGTGCCAATTAACTATAATTACATTTCTACCAGCAGAATCTGGGATATCCCGGCACCAGCCGGATGATTAGATTAATGTCGGAGTCTGTGATGGCAGAATGAAGTGTACCTAAACCCAAAAGGAAAATGTAATATATTGCACCCTACCAGTATATGTGGGGGGCTGCATTTGATTGCTTTTTGCGGGCTTATTTTCATCTGGTGATCTTGCCAATAACAAACAATGTGTCCTAGGGTGACAACGCTCACCTACTGTACTTATCTATGGAGGAGCAGTATTGTCACTCTAGGAGAGGGCATGTGTTAAACCTAGAGAACACATCCCCTCCAGAAAATGGAAGGTGTCTGTAATCCTAACACACTTCTGGATAAAGTTGTTTTGAGAGAACACTGTAGATTGAACAGGACAGCACTGGATTTCTGATGTAATAAAATGCTTTCACCAGTAGGGTTAGGGTTTATATTAGGGATGCACCGATATATCGGCCGCCGAAACATATCAGCCAAAAATTGAACTTTTGGCATAATGCCGAAAGTGACATTTTTCTGCCGATACAGCGGTGCATCCATTCTTTCTCTCCTCCCCGCTGGGCGCTGCTCCGTGTCCAAGCAGGGAGGAGAGAAACTGTCACAGGCAGCCGAGCGCTGCAGGAGGAGAGTGCCGTGAGCGGCTGGTGTCTCTCCTCCCACATCGCTCAGCCTCCTGTCACAGATCAGAGGAGAGCGGTGTGTGGACGGAGACAGCCAGCGCTGTCACAGGAGGCTGAGCTCTCCTCCTGCACCGCTAGCTCAACCTCCTGTGACAGCATGTGACTGAGTGTTTGTACATAATTGAGGACACAGTATGTTTACTATATCCTCAATTATGAATGAATGGGAAGTGATCTACATCACCTCCTATTCATTCATAATTGTGGTTATAGTACACATACTATGTTCTCATGTTATGAATGAACAGGAACACTCACCATGGAGGATTCCTGTTCATTGATAACAGGGAATGCAGAAAAAGAGATTGAGGATTGTCTCCTCAATCTCTTTTTCTATTTTAAAAGGGAAATATCAGGGGGTCTGTTTAGACCCCCAATATTTCCCCAAAGCCCCTAAAAGTAAAAAATGTAAATATTTAATTAAAAATGAATATAAATATTTAAAAAGTTTATTACAAAAATAAAATATTTTTAAAAATGTGAAAACGGTAAAATAAAAAACATTTTTGGTTTCGGCCTGACTTTTTTTACTTCAGTTGTGAAATTTTCATTTCGGTGCACCTCTAGTTTACATACTGTATACTTTAACTGATATGACAAAATATTTCTTTATACTTTACACAATAGCTCTTCTCTAATTGTAAATTGAAAGTGTATTCCCAGTTTTGCAGTCAGATTAGAGAAAACCCCTCTATATCTTTATTATGTGTTCCCATTCACACAGCATATTTTTTAAAAGATTTTGTAAATATTTCTTACCTTTTAGATGTTTTGTTGCAGCAAGCGAGATGGCCGGTTCCAGGTATTTCTCAGTATCTTCTCAGTGATCTGTCCTTACAGAAAGACTTAGGACTGAAATTTGAGGATTGCGTTTCTCTCATTAACATACAATAGAGAGGCCAGGGTTGTAATCTTTTAACCCCTCACAACCCCTCCTAACATAAAATAGAACAAGTAGGAATTTTAACTCGTCTTAAGAAGCCAAGAAACCCCAAACCAAGTAAAAGTAATTTAAACTGCAAGCATTTTTTTTACTTGTGGTATGTGAATGGGAACATGTAAGGCGTTATCCTTATTTGGCTGCGAAAGTGGAAATACACTTTAAAAGTTGCTTTCAGCATTCACTGGATAACTATAATTGTTGAGAAATAACTGAACAATCCAGAAGACAGCAAATAATTTGCAGACAAGAACATTGAAAATGGAAAATTACTTAAAATGTATTTATTGATGACATCACAAATTGTACATTAGCATTCTTATTGCTAGAGGGTATCTACAGACGGCTGTAAGTGGTAATATTGGCTTTGAGCTGCTTCGAGAAAAATGTTAGGATCCTTTTCCATGCATCTTCTTGTGCTTTAGCATGGGCTCTAAGCTGACCTCCCCACAACATAGGCATTCCCAATAGCTTGTGTTTGGAAGCCTTGCACAAAGGAAAATAAGGGGGCTCCAACAGATGACCAGCCCCAGGGTAATAGCAAGATTCCACATCCTTGTTGTGCTCTTTGAGACGTGCAACAAACTGCTTAGTGTATAATGCGCTGGGCCAGTTCTTGTCATCGAGACCGGATAAGAGGAGGAAGGAGGCAGAGGACCGTTCAGCTGGGATGAGGCACTCCTGAAATGCCGGGTCCATAGGATCTTCCATAAACTCTGAAAGATCCGCTTCGCCAGCTTCTGTAAACTTAATCTTCTCAGCACTAAAGCCCAAGCATGGTTGCACAAAGCCATCACATGGTAATGGGGCCATAGTGTTGGCATTGCAGCCAGATATACTGACAACTGCCTTGACTCCAGGTAGGAAAGTTGCCATTGTGATTGCTAGGTCAGCACCTTTAGAAAGGCCTATAATCCCAATTTCTTGTTTATTAACCTATGAAAACATGACGGATATGGTTTCAATATTCTCCATTGTACCTTAAATTTCTCTTTAAAATTAGAAAATAAGAATGTGAACTAAAAAAACAATTCATGGTATCATTTATTCACAATGCAAACCTAGTTTATTACCAGATCCCTTGTTTAAAAGCCCTTACATTGTGCGTTAAACAGCAGTAAACACTATGTTCAATCTGTCTTTGCTTCACCTCCAACTTTACAGAATTTCGCCTACTTTTACTAGAATGAGTGGGAAAGAATTCCAAAATGTCTGAGGTCATGAGCACGGCATAGAAATGTAAAGAATAATTCTATAAAGCTGAAACTGACTGCTTCCTCTAGAATTAAAGTCAAGTGAGACTGCAGAATGGCTATACTTTGTGGGAGGTAAAAGTGCCCATCTTGGAGCATTAAGTCAGAATTTGGTATCACTGACCTCATTGTACAATGTACTGTAGATGCCACCTACGCTAAAAAAGCTGCTACTACGTACTGTTGGCTGTGGTAACACAAGACCTCAACGTGCCTCAAAATCAGACCATTATCGGTCCAAAGACTAACGCACAACTACATCCAATGTTGACAAGGATAGACTTTATTCATTCTGTTTTTAATGCACATTTAGTGAGTTGACCCACATTGTATTTAGGCAGCCATACATTTTAAACACACATAGGTGCATTTGGATGCACTGTAGCACCTTCAAAACCAAGTCATATTATTTAAAAACCAAACAGAAATCCAGAAATACCTTTGGGTGACGTCTTAAAAACTCCAAACCTTCCCGAAAGTAGTCCAGATGAAGGCCACCTAGATTGTTAGGAAGGTCATCATAATCGAAAAATGCAAGTGCCATTGTCGCAAAGCCGTGGTTGGCCAAGAGGCTGGCTCGGTGTTCCATGAGACCTCCCCCTGTTCCGTACAGATCTATGATGCCAGGAAATGGACCAGGTCCTACACATTAGACAGAAGAGAAGACATCCCACTTTAAAACTGTTCAATTGAATTAATCTAAATGGAAAAAAAAAGAAAGAATTTGGTTCTGACTCACGTATTCTAGACTCAACTAAAGAGTTTTAAGCCATTTCAATTTCATTCTAATTTTCCAACAGTATATCAGGACAAAAAGTGAGCATGGGAGTCATAGCTTATCCCTTCTGACATGACTGATGGGCCATACATATGCAAAGGGCCCTAGCTCCAATTCAGCAACATTGTGGGTATTCAGTGTAAAAAAAAATGAACGTTCAGAAACTTCGCTACATGCAGATATTTATATACACATATAAAGCACAGCAGTATAATTGGAAAAACTGTGCCCTTAGGCGCCATTAACATGGGGGGAGGGGGGGTTTGCTGCATTAGAAGATTCCTGCAGCAAGAGTCAGATAGGCTGGAATAAGTATACAGCCAAGTGGTATCAGAACTCCTGATCTGCACTTCTGTTCCATGTCAATGAAGTGTTACTGTCATTGCACCAGCATTACAGCCAATCAATCGAGATCTTTAAAATGAGCAGTTGACAATGGCCATCTAGATAATTTCTCAGCACAGGTTTCCTTTCAAGCCCAACTAAACTCATGTGTCAGGGGTAGGCAACCTCGGCACTCCAGCTGTTGTGAATCTACAAGTCCCATGAGGCATTGAAGGACTCAAACAACCCCAAGCATGACTGCAAGATGCAGAGGGATGATGGGGTTTGTAACTTCACCACAACTGGAGTGCGAAGGTTTCCATCCCTTGCCACATGTTTTAATATGCAAGTCTTTTCTTCATACCATTTGCCTTGCATAAGGTGCATTACTGCATGTTGGTGCATTGCGTGCCATTCAATTTCAATGGAACCCCCAAGACACCCGCGTTCCAGAGTAATAGAACATAAGGCTAAATCAGGCTTTGAAGACTAAGACTAGGGCTACACAGACGATATTCGGTCCTGCAATAGGGTGACTAAAATCTCCCAGGATCGTTCACTTCTCTTGTGGCACGTTCACTGTAATTAGGAGGCGCTATAAAGTGATCTCTATGATCGTGCAATGCTGCAAAACAGTCAAGTCATGCATACTCTGTTTCCGCAATGTGTAGCCCTCATCGTGATATGCTGCGTACTTACAGGACTGTGCATGGAGTTTGTGATTTTCCTGCATTTTCTTTCTCTTTAATAATTTTTGCTGAGAATCTGGGTGAGGGATGTAGCTCCATTAAATGTGATTACCCTTTACTGTTTGTATGGTTTTAATACGCTATGAGCCTCTCCCTGCATCTTTTCTATGGCCCCTGAGAATTGTTTGGATACCTGTGGATTTGCCCTTGGAGGATTGATTTAACATCTTGTGCTGTTTGACCTTTTCTAGTAACAGAGGGTCAGACTCTGGGGGTAAGCACAATTCCACGTGGGGTGTCTGTATATGACAAAGGGTAAATATTAAGGATTGCTAATGGATACTATTGATTAGTAAAATAATTGTGTCACGCTGTGAACCAAAATGTCACACAAAATAGTATCCAAGTCGGGTTTCTTTACATCTACACAAAATTGTGTGGAAAATATAAATCCCAATCTGATTTCACAAACCTCATACATAGTATAAATAAGTAAACGCAGACAAACTATGCATGAACAGAGGTGCGTATAAATACCTATATAAAATATGACAACAAATATAGTAATGTGACTTGGTGGTCATCCACATTAATATAGTATTAAAGTGCAAAAGTGTTCAGTCCACATGAAGTCCTTCAACCAGTGTAACAATGATCAATCCACATATAGTGCTTCAGTCATGCAAACAACATTGGTGTATTGTTGATGTATCCACTCCCATTACATCTATCGACTGTGTCTTCACCCATAATAATAATATCTGCCTCTCGCCTTATGGAGAGACCTCTCAGAGAGAAGGTCATCAGCGTGTTACCCCGTTTATAGACAGGAAGGGGTTCTCCTGCCCTTATCAGTCTAAGGATCGTCCCTAAGACTCCTCCAATGTTTAATCTCAATGAGTCCAGTAGATGTCGCTCATCCACACCGACATTATAACAGAAAATAGATCATCGCACAGACCGTTTGATTACCATAAAACATCCCTTTATTTCTACAACTACTCACATTCGATAAGCTCAATCAATGGCAAAGTACAAGTGCTCCTATGACTCTCACACAGACGGCGCATCCACAGACTCCTCAGTTCCATCTTATGTCAGCCACGAGACGGAACTGAGGAGTCTGTGGACACGCTGTCTGTGTGGAAGTCATAGGAGCACTTGTAATTTTGAACTTATCAAAATGTAATTAGTTTTACAAATAAAGGGATGTTTTATGGTAATCGAATGGTCTGTGCGATGATCTATGTTCTGTTATAATGTCGGTGTGGGTGAGCGACATCTACTGGACTCATTGAGATTAAACATTGTCTGTGAAACGATCCTTAAGGTGCCCATACACCTGCCTATTATCATGCGATAATCGCGGGAAATCCTGCGATCGTACGATAATCGGCAGGTGTATGGAAGGCGTGTGCCCGTTTCTACTGTACGGTCGCACGTCTTTTGTCTCACGAGCAGGCTCGAAAACCCGCCGAGAATCGTACGATTGTCGGCGGGTTTGTGGCCTGCTCGTAAGACAAATGCCGGAAGCGCACACTGCCCTTTCAGCATTGCAGTCATCGGAAGCCTGCCCCTCAGCGGGGCAGGCTTTCGGTGATCGCAATTACGATCTGCCTGTCCAAGATGGGCAGATCGTACGTTTTTTTTAATTACCCTACAACAATCGCAAGACAAAGTCTTGCGATGGTTGTAAGGTGTATGGTCAGCTTAAGACTGATAAGGGCAGGATAACCCCTTCCTGGCTTTAAACGGGGTAACACGCTGATGACCTTCTCTCTGAGAGGTCTCTCCATAAGGCGAGAGGCAGATATTATTATTATGGGTGAAGACACAGTCGATAGATGTAATGGGAGTGGATACATCAACAATACACCAATGTTGTTTGCATGACTGAAGCACTATATGTGGAATGATCATTGTTACACTGATTGAAGGACTTCATGTGGACTGAACACTTTTGCACTTTCATATTATATTAGTGTGGATGACCACCAAGTCACATTACTATATTTGTTGTCATATTTTATATAGATATTTATTTATATGCCCCTCTGTTCATGCATAGTTTGGGTGTGTTTACTTATATTGTATAAGATGTTCATAAAATAAGATTGGGATTTATATTTTTCACAGTTTTGTGACAGGAGACAGATTTGGATAATATTTGTGTGACATTTTGGTTCACAGCACAACACATTTTATTAATTTTCAATAATATTATCATATTATTTTAGTGTTGCTGCTATCACGGAATCTGGCGCGGGGTTTATTTGTATTGAATACTACTGACTGAACATTCAATCACAAGGTGCTGGATTGACAGTTTATGTGGATTTTTCATCTCAGGTGTTATCAATTGTCACGTAAACAAGAAGATATTTTGTATCCAAGATTGAGGGATATGGACTATATTTTTTTTTACTGTTTAATTGTGATCAACATTATCTTATGTACGGTATATGTATATGTTCATGTTTTTTTTACATTGTGAAACGTTTGGCAGATTATTTTGCACTTTAATAATATTTATGCATACTTTGTAGATTAGAGATAGTTTTGCATTATGGGATAGGTACCGGCCCAGGGAAGTGAACAGCTCCCCGCCTTCATCGGTCAGCTCGGTGCGGAGAGTCACCTCCTGCCCGGGGATCAGCCCGCTCACCTGCACCCGCAGCGGGTCATCGAACAGGCAGCGCTCCGGGCACACCCGCAGCTGTACCGCGCCGGACATGGAGCGCATGCACAGGGAGAGAGCCGGGCCGTGCACCGGGCTTATAGCGGCTCTCAGCATTGTGGACTATGAACCGGAATACCGGCAGCTGACCTCTGCCCGGGAACCTCTTCATCGGCTGACACCCATGGAGTACACAGGGCGCCGTGTGTCATGGATTTTCCGCCCCGAGCCGCTTCTGTCAGCTGATCAAAGCGGCCACGTGCCACTGTTTTGTGGCGCGTCTTGAAGAGTATAGTTTTTGTTTTGTCTGTGTGGTCAGGTGGTTTGGGAGGGCCAACCATGGGGTTCTTCAAAGTGCCCGCCCCTTTCCTATAAAAGTCAGGCTTTCCAGGTACCGATGGACCGGTGATTACACATTGGAACAGATATGTGATGATTAGAGAAAGATAGTGGAAGTAAAGCCTGACTCCAGGGAAGGGAAATTGTTTCCCATGCACTGGTACCCTCCAGTCACACCTAGGCAACAGAGTTTTGCACATTTTTGTCTAGCGTATTTGTGCGTTTCTCATGTGCATTTTCAAAAGCGGTTTTACTCTTGTTTTTAGTTGGTAGATTGGCCTTGTGTGACAAAAATGCAAAAACTTGCCCCCTGTGTTTACAGGTGTTTCCATTGAAGTCTATGGTGCCAAAAGTGCAGAAATCTGCAGAAAAGTAGCTTGTGTACTACCGGCGATAGAACGCTCAGGTGTGAAGAGGGACCGTAGAAAACAATGGGATACCTTGTGTTCAGCCTATCGTAGCTGTGAGCTACAAAATACCTAGGTGTGAACAGAGACTAAGGGTTAACTTTGTTTATACCCAGGGGACAGGAGAAGCTGTTTGACTTACCTGACCTCTGGTCTGCTAGACCAGTCCCTGCAGCTTCTTCTCCCCTGAGCTCTGGTGGTCTAAGGATTGCTGATGTCATTACGTCTTATGTTCCATAAACCTGCATGACACGTGAGGATGCTGGGGAACATTCTACTGTTAGAGGAGGAGAAGAGTACCAACTGCCAGGTTGGTAGGGACAATGGTGTAACTGTAGCAGCCTAGATGGCTGCTATGGGGCCTGGGGGTGGAAGGGGGCCCCAATAGGTTGTTGGGGCAAATTAAACATGGAACACGTGAAGATAATACAGTACTGTATCATTAAGGGTTGGAGATGACGCCAAATCTTAATCCCCTGTAAAGTCTACAGTGTAGAGATGAGTTCAGATGCACATAAGAAGCCTTTGGAATCTTGGCCATACACCTATAGATTATCTGCAGATTTTCTATGGTCAGTGCAACAGATTCCTCCATCTACGCTAAACTGTGTGGATGGAAGAATCTCCCGCTGGGCCAAGCTTCAGTATCTTTCTAGTCGGCACCACTGGTTGCCAAAACACCTGAACAATGCCTGTATCCAATCAGATTGTTCAGGTATTTGGACAGCCAGCGGGGCCGGCTAGCAAGATACTGAAGCTTGGCCCAGTGGGAGATTCCTCCATCCACACAGTTTAGCATAGATGGAGGAATCTGTTGCACTGACCATAGAAAATCTGCAGATACTTTATAGGTGTATGACCAGCTTAGCTCAGAGCGAGGTCATAGGAGGGGCTCCCCCCATCACATTTCTGCTATGGGGCACCGTGATCTGTAATTCCAGCCCTGAGTGGAGATTGGGTAAGTAAAACCCCGTTTTCTTGTCCTATGCATAATTGAGCACTTAACCCTTGAAGAGGGGAACCATTTCCATGTAGTTGGGATTTAATGATGGTACTCAATGCCTGACTTAAGTGTTAACAGGGACAGTTGGGCTGCCCAAACTCCCGTAGAATTTTGTTAAGGAATTTGCATTGAGTGCGTTCATTCGATTTTCTAATAGCTAATGGGGTCACGTCAACTCGTTTTCAACCATAGTAATAGAAAAAAAAAAAATCAAAGGAGCAGGATGTATTTTTTTTTAATACGGTGTATCTGGTTTTTGTTCGGGAAATACCATTCATTTCCAAAATAGAATGTTAAAACCAAATGAAATTTTAAATAACCTTAAAGTGTCTGACGTTATTGAATGTTCTGATGAGATTTTTTTTAATGTTTGTATGGAAATCTATAAGTGTAGCTAAAAAAATCTACTGTTGGGCGCTGTTCACACTTTGCTGTGCACATTGGCATGCATCCACGCAGTGCATTACTTGTTAATGGGAACAAAAATACTGCCTGTAAAATTTGCGTCTTTGCCTGTGCGTTAAAAAATGGGTGAAGCTTGCAGCTGAAAATGCTGCATGAGCTTCTTTGTCATGCGTGCAGCAGCCCATGGAAATAAATAGGCTGATGCGCAGCAAGTGCACATACATGTGACGTGTGGTCATGCGTGCTGCGGTTGTGCATAAAGTGTGAACAGGGCCTTCGGGTTCGTTCACAATAGCTGCACGATAAAAAGCAGTGGGGTTTTTTGGAGGGCGGGGGGGTATACATTCCTGCACAGAGGTGCTCCTAACACATAGGTGTGAGGCCAGCTTGCAGATTCTTAGCAGAGGTTGATTGATTTTTACTGTTTGCTTGAAAGACACAAATGAAACGTTACAAATATTTTAAAATTTTTAGAGAGAGAGATTTGTGAATATCTCATTTAGTAAGATGGTTGTTGTGTGCACTAATAACGCTTTTAGTATATATACTAAAATATTGTTTGGGTCAACATTTGGATAATCATTTGCACAACTGTCGTGGGAGCTATGAAATCACTAGCACTATCTTTTTTTTTTTTTTATTCTGTCGGTCCTGAGCGTTCAGAGAATGTATGTTTTGGGAAGTCTTTTACCAGCTCTGAAAATTGTAAGTGGAAAATGATTTGTGTGTGTGTGTGTGTGTGTGTGTGTGTGTGTGATGTGGTTTAGTGACAGTGAAGGGAAATCAAATGAACTGTTCCAAGTGGCAGTAGTGGGGAAATAACATTGGGTGTCAGTGGGAGTTACACGCATAGATGGTTGTGGACGGCAGCATGCTTACAATGCATCATGTTACAATCAGTGGAGCACACCCAGGGACAAACACCGAAAGTGACACCATACTCAGGAGTAAAAGCTTAAAAATGCATTTAAGTACCTTAAAGGAGAACTATGGGGTCAGGGCTTTTCCCCGTAGTTCTCCTAAGGGTCACGGAGAACACAAACTAGCGTCCTCATCACCCAAAGCTGAGTATACCTGAGACTCCACAGCCGGGACAGATCCCCACAATACTGTCTGGATCCACCCAGCTGTGGGATTGACAGCTGGCTCTGCCTGTCCAGAGGCAGAGCCAGCTGTACCCGCCCCCTCCTACGTCCGTTCCGCCAGTCAGCGCTGTAGGATTGGACAGGGGAGGGGGGGAATCCCTGCAGGGAGCCGTAAGTTACAGCCACGGCTCTCTGCAGGGATAGATAGAGAAATGAGCGAGCGACGGTATGTGTTCGCTCACTTCCCGATCTACTGAGCCGACCTGTGACAGTTTCATTGTCACAGGTCGGCTCAGATTATGAAGCTGAGTGAAAATCACTCGCCTCATAATTCTCCTTTTTAAAGGGTTATTAAAGCCTCCGGGTTTTTTTGCATATATCTACAGCTAGCAAGCAGTAGATATATGCAAAAACATTAAACTTACCTGTGTCTCCGCCTCGCGCTCCCGTCCAAGGATCTGAAAATTCTCGGGCGGCCGCAAAGGTTCATGGGGCGGGCGCATGCGCAGTAGAGATCTTTGGCCGGGAGACAAGGAGAGACACAGGGTAAGTCTATGCACGCAGTCCGGCAGTGTGCACCCGCACAGATTTCGTGGGACACAGCTGACACAGCAGTCAGCACTGGATCAGAGGCCGGCACCAGCGCTGGAGGGACTCCTGTAAACTACAGGAAAGAAGATGATCGGATGAAGAGAACAGAGACCATGGGAAGAAAAGTAGCCACCCTCCAGAAGGAAGGACAGTGTCGGCACCAATTCAGAGATTTGAGGATCTACGGCCGAGTGCTACACATATAAGATACATTTTTGTTAATAGTTAAGATACCTGACTGTATGAAGGTTTAACTCCTGAGTTTAGTGTCACTTTTGAAACGTGCCTAGTGCAGGGGTTTGCTGCTCTGCGTCTTCAGCTCTGTGTACATCGTCCTGGAACACATCAGTGGCAGCAGCGGATCGTGCAATGTCACATGACTTCTTGTCTTCCTGTTTCAGTTTGCGAGTGGAATTAGACCCAGTCCTAGCAGAAGGTGAGTTTTTTTGATTTTGTTTTTGTTTAAGAGTTAAAACTTTGTCAACAAAACAAATCCATGCCTTTTGTGTCACAGGGGAGCCCTGACTGCTAGCCTGTGTTTACATTCCATTCCAGCCTTTGAACAGTTTAGACTCACAGAAAAGGATATACTGCAAGTAAAGAAAATGCCACACATCATGGAGAATAGGAAAAGAACATTTGCATTGATCCATATAGTGCAATTCAGGATTTAAACACTGCATTCCAGATTTTGAAAATGTTTCACAAACACATCAGCCAGGAAAACACAACGGGGGAATTTATGAACGTGTTAGTGACAGATGTTTTTGTGGCAAAGTCCAAAATGTCATTCTAACTAACCGCAAAGTTTTATCTCAGTCATGCACCTTTTTCTAAGTGTTCTTGTGACATATTCATGTTTGTAGTCAAATAGAGAGTCCCACCGCACTCCTGACCGAGAAGCCTTATATAATGTGGGGCGGCGGGTGCTGAAGTGGCCGCGGATGGTGTGCCAAATACTTGCAAAACAGAAAAAAAGGTCACTAGCACTCCAAGTTTTCTTCAAAATTAAATCCTTTTATTCATTCTTGCAGGTCATATCTCCACTTCAGTGCTATTCAGCTGTCATCCTGGAGGTTCACATGTGGCAGCAAGTAAAAATTGAGCATTTCTCAATATAGACACATTTGGTTATTTCAACAGCAACAAATACAATGCAGTCTGCCTAAGGAACCATTCACACCAGGGCAGTTGCGCATCAGCGCGGTTTCCACTCTGAATTTAATCTCAATGCTGCGGATGCCCTGCAGCCAATTCCTGTCACACTTCAGTGATGACTGCATAGCATTTATCAGGGTACAGGATGACCAGGTATTGTTTTATTAAAAGCTGCAGATTTAAAAATGATAAATACTTCTCAAAATGTTATAAGGCTTATATAAGATTTTAGTGATTTGGGTTTACATATCCACCAGCCATAACATGATGACCATCTGCCTGATATTCAGTAGGTCCTCCTTTTGCCACCAAAACAGCTCTGACCCATCAAGACTTCTCTAGACCTCTGAAGGTATGCTTTGGTATCTGGCACCAAGCCATCAGCAGCAGATCCTTTAAGTCCTGTAAGATGTGAGGTGAAGCCTCCATGGATCGGACTTGTTTTTCCAGCACATCCCACCGATGCTCATTGGATTGAGATCTAGAGAATTTGGAGGCCAAGTCATCACCTCAAACTCATTGTCGTGGTCCTCAGACCATTCTTGAACCATTTTTGCAGTGTGGCAGGGTGCATTATCCTGCTGAAAGAGGCCACTGCCATCAGGGGATACCGTTTCCATGAAGGGGTGTACTTGGTCAGCAAAAATGTTTAGGTACATTAGGTGGTATGTGTCAAAGTAACATCCACAGGAATGTCAGGACCCAAGGTTTTCCAGCAGAACATTGCCCAAAGCATCACACTGCCTCCGATGGTACCATCTCTTTCCCCGGCAAGTGACACACACCTGCCCATCCACATGATGTAAAGGAAAATGTGATTCATCAGACCAGGCCACCATCTTACTTTGGTCCACGGTGCAGTTTTGATGTTCACGAGCCCATTGTAGGCACATTTGGTGGTGAACACAAGTCGGCATGGCCACCCTCACCGGTCTGTGGCTACGCACCCCCCATACACCACAAACTACAAAGCACTGAGTGTGCAGACACCTTTAAATTTAAACCAGCATTAGGTTTTCTGGCGATTTGAGCTCTTCTATTGGATCGGATTACACGGCCAGCCTTCCCTCCCACCGTGCATCAATGAGCTTTGGCCACCAATGGCCCTGTTGCTGTTTAACCAGTTTTCCTTCCTTGGACCACCTTTCGGTAGGTTCTGACCACTGCAGACCGGGAACACCCCACAAAAGCTTGCAGTTTTGGAGCGCAGATGTATCAATATACTGCAATCCCCAAACTTGCATATTAAGGCACCTTTGGGAAACCTATCCTAGCAGGTTCCTTTTAATTTTGTACTGTTACACCAAGTTCCTATTCATCCAGCTGAATACATACATGGTAAAGAGAAAACCAAGCACTGTGGACTTTGAAATGGTTGAACACAAACCATAGTAGCATAATATTTTTACCTATTTATTTTTAATTGCAGATGGACCTGAAGGCATATTTCAAGCGGGTCAATATGACAGACTCCGGGCCACCTTCCCTTTCGGCACTACGGGAGTTACACCGCCATCATGTCCTCTCTGTGCCTGCAGAAAACCTGGATATCCACAGTGGGGGAAAGATTATACTGGAAATGCCATGGATTTATGAGAAAATTGTTGTGAGAAAGCGTGGTGGCATTTGTTATGAGAGCAATGGCCTTTTCTTGTGGGTGCTAGAAGAACTGGGGTACCACCCCAAGGTGTTATCAGCAAGAGTGAGGAACAAAATCAGTTGTGAGTATGGGCCTCAATTTGATCATCTGGTAACCATGGTAGAGCTAGAAGGAAGAAGATGGCTTTGTGATGTTGGGTTTGGAGAGGGTATTATTGACCCAATTCCACTGGAGGATGGATGGGAAGAGGAGCAGGACAATGGAGTTTTTAGGCTACGGGTGGAGACAAAAACATGGTACTTGGAGAGAAAAGATGGTAACCTCTGGAGAAGTCTGTTTTCATTCACTCTTGATGAATATACATTCGAAGACTTCAAGGAGATGTGTGAGTATCACCAGACTTCACCAAGTTCTATATTTACCTGCAAGTCCCTTTGCTCCCTTCAGCTCCTGCGGGGCAGACTGACATACATGGGGCACAGACTGATTACTACAGAATTTACCCCAGGGGGTGGGTGTGTGAAGTCCACTCGAGACCTTACTGATGATGAGATTCCTGATCTGCTCAGAGACAGATTTGGGATAGTATTGAAGGGAAAACTTATACCTAAGGATGAAGACATCATACCTCCAATGTCATGTTAAAAGTAATGGTTTTATGTTTATTGTGTACAGGTGAAATTTGAAAATGATTGCTGCATTTTGATTTTTTATTATACTAGCAACAGTGTGCCCGTCCATGATTATAATTTAGGGAGTGGATACATCTCCTGATGCATAGTCTTTTTTTAATATGTAATGTTTAATAAAAAGGAAAATAGTTTTGGTTTGTGTACTTCTGTATTTTATAATTGATCTGTCCGGGATGGAAGGTGAGGGGAATGATTCTAACTTTCAAAGTATTTTATTAATTTTCCAAAGTACATTAAAACAATAAAATAGCACATGATGCACAATCAGTATAGCATAAAATTGCATTACAGATTCTTCCACATTAGCATAATCCAGTAGTAGGAGGGGATCACTAGAGGCCATACACACAATATATAATAGTTCTGTACAACAGAACATATCTATCCACTATTCTTGCCAATTTATCCCCATCACTACAATCAAAAATCAGAACAGTCTGAGAGGAATATCTGGCCTTGGGATCTGCCTATGTCTGAAGCAAACATTTGTTATGATCTTCTCCATATCTATATCAATAGAAGACTTTCTGTCCAGCATCTATGTACTAAACGCCTCACATGTGCGAGCATAAAGAAAAAAAAAAAAACCAGACAAAAAGAGAAGGAAATAGATACTAAAGGAAGCAGAACAGCTTAAGAGTCCGAAAAGAGTAGCTCCATCCCCGACCAAATAGCCCAACATCTACTTAAACCTTAAACATAGTCCCCAGAGAAAAATTCCAAAAAAGTTGTACAATGAAAATTACCCGGTTTCCAGCACCCCTGTATATAACAACCAGGGGTCCAGGTCAATTCAAAACTTTTTTTATTATATTGGAGGATGCTGTGAAGTTTCTCATGGACCATAATCCAAAACATTTTTTGTTTGACCAAGTGGAATGGAATTGTTGGTGTTTTCCAAGCCCTAACTATGGTTATTTTGGCTGCCAACAGAAAGAAAGTAATTAAATTATCCAAAGCTTTAGACAGTCCTGGGATCGGCCAATTCAGCAAGAGGGGGATGATTCTAGAGTGAAAAGGAGTATAATTGAAAGGAAGTAGAGTACAATGACCACAGACATAAGAAAAGTGGACAAAACTAGACGTGGGACAGGATTATCACAGTTATTAAAAGAGTGGGCATAAATGGAAGAGGAACAGAAGAGCCAGAGAGGATAATAGGCACCGATGGAGGAGAATGATCACAGAGAAGAGGACAGTGGGCATAGTTTAAAGAGGAGGAAGATCAGATTGGGGGGCAGGCATTGATTTAAATGTTGGAAAATTAGCATAGAGACAAGGAAAATGATTACAGAGAAGAGGACAGTGGGTATGGATCAAAGATCAGGGAGAGCAGAGAGGGAGACAGGATATGGATGTAAATGTTAGAGCATGAGCATAGAGGGTAGGAGAGTGGGCAAGGGTGAAAGTGGAGAAAAAAATGGTCACAGAGAAGAGGACATTGAGAATGGATCAGAGAGGAGGAGGATCAGACTGGACAACAGGCATGGATAGACATTTTGGAGAATGAGAACAGGGGGGAACAACAGTAGAGAGGAGGAAAATTGATCAAAAAGAAGAGGACAGTAGGTAAGAATCAGAGGAGGTAGACCAGAGAGGAAGACAGGCATGGATGGAAATGTTGGAGAATGAACATAGAGGGTAGGAAAGTGGGCAAGGGTGGAAGTGGAGAAACATGGTCACAGAGAAGAGGACACTGAGAATGGATCAGAAAGGAGGAGGATCAGACAGGAGCGCAGGCATGGATATAAATGTTGGAGAATGAGAACAGAGGGGAACAACAGTAGAGAGGAGGAAAATTATCAAACAGAAGAGGGCAGCAGGTAAAGATCAAAGAGGAGGCGGACCAGAGAGGAAGGCAAGCTTGGATGGAAATGTTGAAGAATGAGCACAGAGGGTAGGAGAGTGGGCATGCGTGGAAGTGGAGCAGAATGGTCAGAGAAGAAGGCTCTAAGAATGGATCAGACAGGAGAGACGGTATGGATGGAGATGTTGGAGAATGAGAATAGAGAAGGACGGTAGGCATGGATGGAAGTTGAAGGGATATTCTCCTCTACTTCCTCCAAATCCACTTCACTGCATGATCTTCCAAGGACAGCAGGCATAGATGTATGTGAAGGAGATTGATCATAGAGTGGAGGTGAGCAAGCATTGAAAAAGTGGAGTAAAATCATCAGAGAGGACAGCATGCATTAACTGGAGGAAAGTGATAAAGAAAAGATGAGAGAATCCATGGAAATAGTGCATGAAAATGATAAAAGAAGAGAGCAGGCATAGATGTATGCAGAAGGCAGTGATCACAGAGAGGATGAGAACAGGCAGGGATAGAAGTGATGAAAAATAATCACAGATGGAAGAGCAATGTTGAAAGGAAATGGAAGACCATAATTACAGAGAAAAGCAAGCATGGATGGAAGTGGAGAATGATCTCGGAGAAGAGTGTGCATGTTGTGTATAGAGAGCAGTACATCAGCCACTACACAGTGCATAGACCAGGGGTAGGCAATCTCGGCACTCCAGCTGATGTGAAATTATGATGACAACACTGGACTTGTTCCTCAGATTTGTTTACATTCTGTGACAGCTCTCTGTCCTTAATGGGCAGAGAAACTTCATCTTGTACAATCGTATGTATTAATGTAAAATGAGCAAATATTTTATTTTTGTACACTGGTTTATCTTTTTTTGCTTTTTTCTTTGTGTGTGTATACAAAAAAAAACATTACCTGAATCTCTGAGCACGATGTCTAAATACAGCACTATCAGGCAAACAAAGAATCTCAAACTGTATCATCAACCGGTATTCCACGTGGTTAGAGCTAACAAACTCTGCAATTTGGGTTCTGTGCCAAAATAACTACCTAAATATGTCATGACAACATATTTCACTTGACTAATAGTTTTGTCCTGATGTATTGGATTCATTATGTACCTCCGTACAGGTAATTCAGGTTACAACCGCTCAAAGTGCAATTTATCGTAAATGAGTGAACTCTGCCTTGTGAGAACAGTAAGGTGCAGGTTCAGTAACGTGTGTCATTATTTCTATATCGGCTTCATGATCAGATATAATAACTACTCTAGATGTGGTCTCCACCTACGACAGCTCCCATTCCCGTAGAGCGAGTTAGGCATGCTGGTACTTGGTTACGTCAAGGACGGAATGTTTACCTGAAAGGGTGGCAAGCCAAGAACAAAGCGTCTAAAGTGAAAAGCACAATGTTGTAATTATGGGGCAGTTGTATGATTAGAAGCATGTTTGCAAGATATATTTGGGGTGTATGTACAGTATGTATGTATATGTGGTGGCAGGGATTCCTTTAGCTGATTTTTAAGACACCTCAATCTTATGCTATCTAGGTTTTTATTGTGATAAACCTCCTGACTAGGTTGGCCTGTGATAACAGTGTTAAAGTGATATAAAAGTCAAACGGTCTTAAAGCTATTTCAAGTGCTGATGAAATCACTTACAATGGATGCTGTTCCTTGATGTCTAAGTTTTAACTTTCTGCATAATCAGCTGATCTCCTGAGCACTGGCCCTGATATCCTGTCTAGGATGGCTTCTTTCCCTTGCAGGGACCTATGGAGCCACTTCTGTGTCTCTACAAACACAGCTGTAGCTCGCGGTATACTGAGCTTAGGGTAACGGGAGGACGCTAGTTTGTGTCCTCCCGTTACCCTAAGGAGAACTATGGGGAAAAACACTGACCCCATAGTTCTCCTTTAAAGTGGCATTAAAGTCAAATTCTTTTTCCTCTCCCCCCTATGCTGGTGTAAGGTGTCAGGGTACATCAGTCAGCACACATAGCACAGCTTCTGCCAGGGTCGCTGCACGAGCCAATGTGCAAAACCGATGCTAACGTGCATGCACAATATCGTGTGCACGCCTGTTCTTGGTGCCTGGCGGACTATTTAAGGATGGCTCCTGCATCTTGCTGAGAGATTTTCAGCTGCAGACTGCATTTTCTGATCCTGTTTTTGATACCCAGCTTAATTCCTGACTCTGCCTGCCTTGTGACCTCGGCTTGCCTTGTGACCTCCCCTCCGTCTTCCGATTCCGTACCATTCTGCTCACAAGTGTATGACCCTGCCTGCTTCTGTACCATGCTGACCGCACGTTACCGATCTGACTTGTTCCTGACCCTGCTTCAGCTTCCCACACCAGTACTCCCTGATCTGCCATCAGCCACCTAACACTCATATCAGCCACAGGCATGTGTGTTCAGGTGCTGTCTCATCTTCTCCAGTGGGGCTCAGACGAGAGCTGCAAGGTGAGGCCTTCCTTGTCATTTCAGGCTCACACCAAGGTACGTGATGTAAGGACATACCTTAAATGATGCCTCTTGCTCTGAAAATCTTCTTTCCAGTGGTTTTCAGGAGACCCTCCAGTGCTGGTGCCGGTCCCTGATCCAGCACTGACTGCTGGATCCCCTTAGACTGTGCGGGTGCATGCTCCAGGCTGCGTGCATCGACTTACTGTGTCTCTCCTCTTGTCCCGTCCGCAGATCTTTACTGCGCATGAGCCTGCCCCATGATCCTTTACGGCTGCCCGAGAATCTTTAGAACTTCAGACAGGAGCGCGCTGCGGAGACGCAGGTAAGTTTTAACCTTTGTTTTTATATATATATATCCAATGCTTTAATCCCTGGAGTGTCAGTGGTGTGTTTCATGTATCATAGATTTCCCTCTATTAGGTAGGCATTGAACCCTTTTGAAACTGGCCTCACACAAAGCAGAAACCACAAAATAAACTCTGGAACTTTGTCTTCTCTGAGTTTAGAAGCCCGGGCAAGATTGTGTTTGCAATGAGCTGGGCATATGCAGCTCAGTGCACATAAACACTGACAGGTAGGGGCAATTGTAACAGCAGAGACATACTGAGTCTCGTCTGTCATTGAAAACCTGACCTGTCAGTGTCTCTTTTTTTTTAAATGAATTTACTTTATTAATGTTGACTGTATAGCAAGTGTTTCAAGTAGTATTAAACTCTCAAACCTTTTTTTTTTCAATAATGAATCCAGATCAAACAAATATACATTGCCCAACAAAGTATGCCTTCATTTTTTTTGCCCATACAATTGCCGTCGTGTTTCCAAACATCTGGCTCCAAATCCCTCAGCTCAGCTTCCCTGACCTTCCTGTCCAGTACAAGATCACAATGGACAGAGCAGCTGTACATAAACAGGCTTGGAGGAGGGAGCTTGGAGTGGATTGCCTTGCTGTGGCTGTATGTTTGTGCAGACACACACAGCTTACCAGCACACACATGAGTGGCACCATAAGACCCTGCAAGGGAAAGGAGCCACCCTAAGGCAGGATACCTGGGCCAGCTGATTCTGCAGGAAGCTAAATGTTTGAAACATAATGGAGCATCATCCACTGGAAGTGGGTTTCATCAGCATTTAAAATGGGTTAAAAACATTTTGACTTTAACCCCTTCATGATGGGAGACATACAGTGTACGTCCCAGCACTTTCTGCCTATATGACTGGCCACGTACACTGTACATGATGAGTTATATCAGGCTTTGTAATGCTGGTAACAGCTGATTCTCAGCAGTTACCAGTCATTAAAGAATGCCTCAGTATTGAGGCATTCATTCATGAAAATATTAAGCTTTTGTAAAAGCTTCTTCCTTTCATTAATGAAAGAATGAAGCCGTTACATGCAAATACAGGACCGCAATTTGCGATCCCGTATCTGACAGCTGAAAATAGCAGAGAGGTAGCAGTGACTCACCTCTCTGCTATTTGTTTTTACAGCTTGAGAGCCCGATGCTTAGATACATTTCTCTAAAAAGATACAATGTATATCTTTTGAGTGAAATGTATAATTTCTGATGGTCTAGGCACGATCAAAGAGCTTTTAGTGAGATCTGAATCTGACTAAAGTCAGGATCAGTCTCTAAGGTTATTATTAGCTGTCTGATAGCCAAAACATTTTTTTTTTTTAAAGTTAATTTATCAAGCAGTCATAGTGATTGCTTGATATAAACTTATTTATTAATTTTTTTTTTTTACAAAGTGTAAAATAAATTAAAATGTAAAACAAAATTAGGAAAATAAAAATTATATATAAATATATTTGTTATACTATAATTAATATAAAAAAAATTCTAAAAAAAATAATAATAATCAACTTGTGAAAAAATTGTTTTCTTCTAGTGTTTTTTTCCTCATTTTTTTAAATTTGATTCAAACTAAGTGAGGGGTTAGGTACACATATGTGATATAATTATATAGCCCTATCTGTCCTCTAAAAAACAATATATAATATGTGTTCGTACATTTAGTAAGAAAGTATATTACTGCTGTGGTAGAATCACACAGCAAAAATGTCAAAAGTGTGTCAGTCATTTATGAACAGAACCTGAAAACTAGCTCAGTCATGAAGGGGTTAATATCACTTTTCAGTTGTGAAACAATATTGATTGATTTAGTCCTGCTGAAGCTGGGAACATTAGATCCAGAAATGCTTTGTCTTGTCCTTTTTTATCATAGATCAACTCCTTCTGGTCTTCTAATATTTGGTTTAGCCCTCTCATTTTTGTCTGCACCTCTTGGACGTCATCTGTTTGTATCTGTGAGCTGCCGACCAAAGTCCTCGTACATGTCAACACAGTTCATATCTTTACAGCGAGATCAATCTAGTGCTTGCTACCATCATCTCTAACTGGTTAAATTAAAACAGCCTTTATCAGTGCATTCATTTTACAATCCACATTCATGACCAGAAACCGTCCAATAGCATATACAGTAATTGTGAAATTCACACTGATTAAAACATATACAAACATGATACATGCTTACTTCCATCAGTCATCCTAAAACCAGAAGCTTTACATTCCCAGAGAACCGACTATGAATGAACTGTGCCTTTAAATAGTGACCAACAATGCTCTTAAACTTCCCATACAAGTTACAATCTGATTGTACAATCAGTAACAGCTATAATCAGATTCTGGTGGCAGTGTAGTCTTAGATGACTGATATCCTGTGGTGGAAATCATTTCTCTCCCGATGGCTTCAACACATTGCAATGTCTGCTTCCATAACTATATACTATAGTCTTCATCTGTGCTAGAATTAAATACAGCAGCATAAGACAGTCACATCATCTTCTCTTCCATGTTGGCTTCATGCTTTATATTCAATCAGGAGTTCTTGATGACATTAGCGAGAGAGTCGAGGAGCTGGAAATAATGATATTTGATGTCATACTCCATGTCGTACCAGTAATTCACTGTTTAAAAGAGAAAAAGAATGTCAGAGCTATATTATTCATGTAGGAGGTCGGCAGACACAAACAATACCATTATACTATATAATAATGTTTACCATTAGGCACTCAGCTCACAAAGATATATATATATATATATATACTGAGCTAGATGTATGAATTATGACACACTTTTACTGCTAAGAGACCAATCTGACAAACAGACACACTGTTCTCTATGACAAGTTTAATTCTGGGTGCTTCAAATGACTGTTTTCAGCGACTTTTGCAGCTCTAAACTCTAAGGCAGGGTTTACACATCTGTGGTGCATTCGCATGCATTGCACATAGGGAAGCTTATTGATTTTTATGGGCTACCACCATAAAAGTTGCATTTTACTATTTTTTAACGCAGTGCGGCACATGTGATGGTATGTTACTGTGCTTTCTGATGCACTAAAACACGCGTCCATTGGCAAGGTGTGCTGGGGTGCCATTAAGAAGGAATACCACCAAACCTATGAGGAAGGAACGCTCACTGTTTCAGGATAACAGCTCCGGCTCTGTTTTCATAGCCAATGTACATTATTATCTTTATTGACAGGTGGAAAGAAAGGGGTTATGATGTGGACTGAAGCATCAACAACCATGGGCTCAGACTTTGCAAAGATAGCTGTCAGTGTACCAGATGTTGCTCCCAAACACAATGAAGGGAATTTATCAAAACTGGAGCAGACAAAATCTGGAGCAGCGGTGCATGGCAACCAATCAGCCAATTTTCCTTTTCAGATTTTAACTGAACAGAGAAGCTTATTGGTTGAAATGCACATCTGCTCCAGATTTTGTCTGCTCTGCTTTCGATAAATTCCCCCAAATGTTTGTAACCGACTTGCCTGCACATAGCTGCCAGAGACAAAATGCGGTATTGTAGGTAAAGTTGCGTACTCTTGACAATTTTAAAGTGATCATCTTAAAGTAATTAAAAGAAAACATCTGCTGGAAGAGGCTTAAGAAGGCCTCGAAGAGTGAAAATAGGAGTGAGGGCTACAAATTCACACATTATGATAAAAAGAAACAGATAAAAGGGGTAGGTAATGTAAAACAAAATAAGCAGCTTGAGGGAAATAGAAGATGGGGAGAGTAACAATTTTATCTTATCCCAAAAAACTGTACTGAGCTAAGCAAAACAATTATATATGAAATAGACATGCACCAATACTAGTATCAGTGCCGATACTGGGTATTTGGGCGAGTACTTGTACGGTGGGTACTTTGCCCAATCAGCATTGAGCCGGCCAAACATTGGGAAGCCGGCTCCATGCTATTTGGCTGGCTTCCCAGGCAATCAAGAAGACGGGCAGCGTGTCATTCATTACCCGCCACCCAGCTTCTTGATTGCCTGGGAAGCTGGCTCCATGCTAGCGGAAGTACCGGTATTGGCGAGTACCGAAATATAAATATCGGTACTTGTACTCGAAACCGAAAAAAAGGTATCGGTGCATTCCTAATATAAAATATTCAGCATTAGTTTTCATCCAAAATGACAGCCCCTTTTTTAATCACTTAGCTATTGGGAAAAAAATAACCCACAGCATGTATATGGGCCAAAACTTAACAGTAATGTACAGTAGATCTACTGATACTGGCTGTGATAAAAAGTCTAAGCTGTGCTATAATCATCTCTACAAACCCATTTCTGATATGCCTGGAAAATAGAATTGTCACATATGGCATCAAACCACCAACTACTGCACAGAGCTCATCTCCCAAGAGCAGACAATCAGTGGTCGCAGTGACCAATGTCGGTGGTCCTTGTGACATTAATATCGCTCTTAAAGAAATAAAGGGGACCCGTCACAATTTTATTTTTGAGCCTTGAATCCTCTCCTTCTGAAAAGCAATCTTCCAATACTACATCTTACCTGCAATGCAGCCATGGGACTGGCGCACATGGTGAAACCACAGAGAGGGTAGATACAGCATTTCTCCTGCCCTTACAGTGACATGGAGTGGTCGTGTCTGACTATATGCTGGGTACATACTTAGATCTGGATCCAGTGGATCAACAGGGATCCAAGGCACCTGACAAGAGGAAAAATAGATTTGCTAATCACAAAAGGAACTAGGGCTGCAAGAACTAATCGACATAATCGATTATAATCGATTATTGAACATATCAAGAAATATGATACAATTGGAAACTTTGGATGGCTACAACTGTCTAACAACCCATATAACCTTCATTTACAGATTCTATGAGAATTTTGTCTTGATTCAAGTTGTCAGCGCCTGAATTTCTCTGATTTCGTGGGTAACCCTGTCTACTACCATTCCACTGTTCAATAAGTCTGACTATAGTCAGTAAAGTCACTCTCGTTGCAGAAGAGGGTGGCAGTTGATGGAGCTCAGGAAGTCATAGAAAATCAGGCCCCAACAACAAAGTCAAATGAGATAGGCAAGCAACCGTGTTGGGTACTAAAAGTGTAACTACGCCACTTATATTGCACCTTGACCTGCCTCCGTTCCCCAGCTAGATATCGCCCACAAAACCACAGTGTCCCTTGTCAGAATTTTCTGAGTGGGGCCCTGCCATGCAATGTACACTCTCCATTCGATCCTATGATGATTTAATTCCGTGATTGAAAGTTTCCAATTGCTATTTGATTCCTGAATATTAACTTAAAGGAGAACTACGGGGTTAGGGCTTTTCCCCATAGTTCTCCTAAGGGTAACGGGAGGACACAAACTAGCGTCCTCCCGTCACCCAAAGCTCAGTATAGCTCGCGGTATACTGAGACGCTGCAGCCGGAGCGGATCCTGACAATTCTGTCTGGATCCAACCCAGCTGCGTGAGTGACAGCTGGCTCTGCCTATATAGAGGCAGAGCCAGCTGTACCCGCCCCCTCCCACGTCCGTTCCGCCAGTCAGCTCTGGAGGATCGGACAGGGGAGGGAGGATCCCTGCAGGGAGCCGTAAGTGACAGTCACTGCTCTCTGCAGGATAGATCGAGAAGTGAGCAAGCGACGTTATGTGTTCGCTCGTTTCCCGATCTACTTAGCCGACCTGTGACAGTTTCATTGTCACAGGTCGGCTCAGATTATGAGGCTGAGTAAAAATCACTCGCCTCATAATTCTCCTTTTAATGTGTTACCTTGTCTGTAGATTCCTCATCAACTACTTGAAATGATCCATCTTCACTAACTTGGTACGTTGCTGGCTGGTATAGCTCTGAAACAAATTGAAAATACAGATTTAGCTTTTAATGAAACTGAAAAAAAGTAAAATGGTAATAAATACCTTACAGGAAACTGTTCACACAAACTGTCCCTACATCCATTCCACTGTGGGGTGATGTAAAGAGTAATTCCACTTTTGTTACAACAAAAATCAATCCCCTCGGGGTGATCAATGTACATTACAAGGATTTTTTTTTTCTTTTCTTTTTTTCTCTTTTTTTTTATATCGAAGCCCGTGGACGTGCATCAAAACTTGCCCCTGTGAACAAAAAAAGTGAACCGTGATATCACAGCACACAAAAAACGTGCACAAGGGTGCAAGGTCCTTCGAAAGAAGGGACCTACTTTCCCGACCCCCCGGGGCGCAAGGCTCCTGACAGGGGTTGAGACTGGTGGCCCACCAACCCGAAGGCCGTGGACCATTTCCTTTGGGGACCTGCCGAAACAGGTCCCCCTCAGTACTAGGCAAGTGGGATCTCCCGAAGAGAAACCCACCTCCTGGGTGGGAGGAGACAGAGAACCCCGTTCGAGGCACAGAATCTCCTCCCAGCGTCAGGAATAGGCCCCGAAGAAACCTGCACCTTTCGCATCTGTGGGTCAAAATTTAAAATAAAAAAGTGCCAAACGTGGATAGAGTGCTTAAATAATCTAAAGTGCCAGTGCACAACTCTGACAGGCCTTAGGGGCCAGAGTGCAAAAATATTGCCCCAGACTAGCCATAAGGCCTGTCTTGGAGGCGAAGTGCAGAAAATATGCAATGTGGTGTGTGACCAAGTGCACAGTGAGTCAAGTGGGGTCCCATACCCATGTAACTTTCTGCGCACCCCTGGGACGCCACCCCCAGGGGGCACAACACCACGGGCTTCTGCCGCCCCCGAACCCTCTAGCCTTGATCAAGCTTCGCACCCATTCTCTCAGGAGGCATTAGCACCTTCAGAGCCTCCTGCTTACAACTGGGGACAAGCCCGGCGTAACCGGACCAGAATCAACCCAGGAGGAAAGGAGGCCCCTCCAGTACCCACCAATCACATCAGGGAATACCGAGCATCTCTCTGTCCCGGTGGATCGATGCCTTTCTTCCCTGAAAACTGATAAGAACAGATACTACACTTGATCTTAGCCAAAAGGCCGAGAAGCGATCATTACAAGGATTTTAACAAACTTTGTTGCAGATTTCCTGCCTGTTTCTGTTCTTAAGAAATAGCTATTTGTTGCAGCATGTCCTTTCCAAACTGATCTCTGAATGGGAGGGTCTGTGTTCATTATAATCAGCTGGTGGCCTTTCTGGGTTCTAATGACAAAGGTGCAGTGTCTGTATCCCTTTAGTAGTAATTGACCCTTAGGGGGTATCTCACCGAAAAATACAATTCCACTTGCAAGGGATACCAAACTTGTATCTTCGTGCACAGTGCTAGGAAAATAAGCCAGCCAATCACAGAAGGAGGAAGTAACATTTCTGGGGGGCTTCTGTACCCCAACTGTGTACGGCAACTGTGTGTGTACAGCATGCCTCCAGGTTGCCATATTGCATTTCATTTTTTAGACAGATGTAGAACATTACAGCAGATAGTTTTAAATGGAAAGGTAATTTTTTTATAATATTAAATTACAAAATGGCTTGTGCGCCAATTATATATGCTATATTCATTTTTTTTTAACTCTTTATTTATGAAAAGACAGGTGAATAGTAACATACAATGGTACATGAAATTGTGGCATCGGCATAACTCAATCCATAAATGACCCTAGGCAGCATGACCGTAGAAGTATTTAACATACTACCCTATTTCCTACGTTTCCTGCATTTTTTATTTTTAAAGTGAAGTTACCCTTTAACAAAGGTTTAGAGACAGCTCGCTTTGAAAAGTGAAGGAAAGTCAATGAGGTGAACCTATGTTCACTTTAACGAATACCCTAACATGTGTGAGAACAAATTGCTAGCACATGATTATTTTGATTAAAGTGATCACAACTTCATCCTATTTATTAATGAGTGAATGGTCTGTTTATGGAACTCAAGTGAATCAGCCCCAGCAGGATTTTTTTTTCCCCCCATACTCGACATACCATATGGGATAAACGGTCGGTCAGTTGGTGGGTGAAGAATAAAGTGCTTTTCTCCAGAGATGACACAATATAGGTTCTCGTAGTGGTCTTTATGTACTGTAAAAAGAAAAAACAGCTGATTTAACCATTTAGAAAGAAGGTATCCCTCCCTGTCCACTACAGGAAAGCTTTGTACATACTGCACACACTGGAGGAAAGGAAGTAAAGTGCTGGTGTCCACACCTATCAATCTGCTCTATTCCCTTTTACATCCTTCTTAAAGTGAACCCATGCATGTCAAAGCAACATGTTCAGTTCAAAGCTAAACTGAACTTAAAAATGAAATATTAATTGTGCCTAACAAGTGCCCTGAAACATCTACTTTTGTATAGAATTCCTCATTAAAAAAAAAGGAGTGCACTACCTGGTATGTGAATGTGCTTAGGCACTCTTGTACCTACAGCTTCATAGTTGTGTATCTGCAGTGTGAGACTATGATACTGCTGCCTCTGATAATGTCTCTGTGGTGCTGCTAACGTTCTCTTAGCTGAAGGCTCTGACTTGAGGAAACAAAGTCCTGACTCCGGGCAACAGCTTAAACTTAGGTGGCCTAAAGGTGCCCATACACCTTGCGATTATCGGACGAAACTTTTCGTCCGATGATCGAACCGTCGTACGATTTTCGTACGACGGCCCCATCCTGCCCCGATTATCGCAAGGTTCAATCAGCGGTAGTTAGAAAAAAACACCTGGACGACTTGCGGTAATTGACCGCAATTATTTTCGTTTGCGCATGCGCAGTGTTAATCGTACGACTTTTGACGGACGGAAACGCCACCAACCATGCGAACATCGTACGATCAACCAAAGTTTTCAAACATGCTTGACCGTCAAAAGTCGTACGATTGTACAGTACTATCGGTCGGGCACTCTATTCACACGTTACGATTGTCGTACGAAAAGTCGATCGAATACGATTATCGTACGATAATCGTAAGGTGTATGGGCACCTTTACACTGGACTTTGTATTCTCACAGCATGGATGTGCAGTTGTCAGAATACCGAAACAGTGACTGCAATACTTCTATGCAAATTTGATGTACTGGGTATATAGTACAGACTTTGCTCCCTGTAAGCACCTCAGAGCTTAATGTTACATTTTGATCATATCTTTTATCATTGTAAATATAACTCACATGAAGTCACTGCTGCAGACTCTCCCAGCCAGAAATTAACAGCATCTGGGTGCTTTCCTAGTAGCAGAAAAGAAGACAGCATTGTTAACATTTTTAGAAGAGGGTAAATGTATTAATCGTGTTCTTCTCTTTTCTTGCTAGGAATGCCATGCCTATGTGCAAAATGTACACAGATCTTTCAGAGGCTAGTGGAAATGCATATAAATGTGAATAGTGGGGACCAGTGTCTCTGACCTGTGCTCTGACAGCTAGTAAGATACATCAGTCACACTGGGAGTGCATGGTTGTCATTGTGTTGGCTGACCTGTACACTTGCATCGTGGGAAGATGCAGTAATACACAACCATTATATACACCGCAAAGCAGGAAGCAAAACCTGCATCTGTAATGAGCATATAGGACTTTCCATGTAAAATAATATATCATTACAAACTAAACAGAAACATGTTTAAACTGTAGTGCACACTGGCAACACTTTTAAACAGTCCTCTTATTTCGTTTTGGATAGAGCAGGGAAATGTTTAAAAGCCTGTCAGGGGTGGTTGTTGTTGTTTGCGGTTTTCCTTTGAGCAATTTTTCTTTAAATTCCCATCTCAAGACACTGCTGGAAAATGAGAAGACATCCTTCCATCCTTGTTCCGATTGTCCCTAACTTTCAGTACCGGTGACAATGATCACTAAAACGAACAAAGAGCGCAAATCTCTACAGTGTGGTAATAGGAGGCAATAACATGTTGTCAGGGGTTTTAATAATTCCTTACTATGCAAAAAGAACGTTTTTCCTTTAGATATATTTTTTGTGGCTTCAATGCTTGTTTTACAGGGTTTTTGTTTTTTATTTTCTTAATACATATAACAAACAAAAGAGTAGACGTGAACAGAACAGCACTGGGTTTGGAGACTATGGAAGTAATACATTAGTACAATGACATCACACAGCTAATCTCTATAACAGGACAGCATGGATTGATCACAGCAAGGACTTACCTAAAGCCTCACTCATCCATGGTATATGACTCTCCACATCTCCTATCAGCTCTGGGAACTCCTCTGTCAGATTGGAGCACTGTTTCTGAATGTAATACACTCCTGGGCTGCTGGTTTTCTTCTCAATGAGATCCAAGACATCCACCAGCTTCATGGATCGCTCCTGGGGCATGACAAATCTGTCCTTGTATACAGCATCGGCATAACCATTAGGAGTTACAGCCACGCTCACACACTTAGATCCTACACAGGTCCTATATATAGAAACAAGGCTATTATCAGTAGTAAGGAGACCCTGTCACCATCATAATAAAACTGCATGCAAAAGAACAGCAAAAATCAAGAATTTTAAATGAATACTGGCAGCATTTTCCTTTCTATAAACATTTTCTTTTTTCATAATAGATTTTTATTAAAGGTTTTTAACATCTGCAACACATACATTGATGATTACTTTCTAATATGTATACTCATATAAACATTTTCTATTGACTAGCAATGTGCCTTTGAACTTGCTAGGAAATTGACCCCCCTGGAAAGTGTCGATTCGCTAGCACAAATCCCTCTCCCATTGCATCTCATAGCCCTGTCTTCTTCTGGGAGAGTGTATCAGGGTTATTCACAAAAGGGTGAAGAGTTTGGAGATGGCAGGAGAAGTGAGCAATCTAGGACAACATCGCTGATATGGAAAGTGAGCTGAATTGGAGAATTCTTCCAGTTCAGCTATGTTGTCCTAGATTGTTCACTTCTCCTTCCTTCTCCAAACTATTCACCCTTTTGTGAACGCTGTAAATATTGTCTGTGCTGACCCACTTCCTCTGCTTCTCCCTTCACCTGCCTAGAGAAACTTTTATGTAGCAGCCAGGGAGGAGCGAAGTGGAATACTATAGAATGTAACATGAGTGACAGCTCTGAGTCTGCTGACATCACATCCAAAATGGCAAAGTCCAGCATTAGTCTTGGATGTCTACACAAGGGAGATTCATACAAGAAAAACAACAAGCATAACATATGTTGAATGGATATATTCCTCTTCCTGTAACAGGCAAAGCTGTCCATCAACCAGCAGTGGTCATTGACTGGAGCAGATTGGCAGAAAGCATAGGGTGACCATTGGCATGCAGCATTGGGAGCTGGTGGTCTCATAGAGAGCAGAAAGTGACAAGATCAACAGGTATTCATAAAAGAAATTACTCACGCCCCTTTAAAAAAATGCACAACTACATTTACAAGGCAAAAGGATCTTAACACTTGAGCTGAAAACCTGCACTGAAAATATACATACACCACCATTGCTGAATTCTTCTTTTCTTCGTTTCATGGCTGTTATACCGATCAACAGGAAGCAAGAGGACAAGTTTCCAAACCCACCTTCCCAGTCACTGACCCAAAACAGATATGCACATTGTGAACAGTGACTCTCTTCTGATTTCATTTGCTCCATGCTTTTTCCAGATCAGTGACTTAAAGTGGCATTAAACCCTCAGATTTTTTAACATAAAACAATACTGTAATGTGTGCCTTACTGTAATCCATGGTTGTTAAACAACTCTGCTCTGAATTCAGGAGCCCTGCAGCATCACTGCCACACCACCACGAGAAGCTGAACTTCACTGGCAGGATCAACAGGTATTTGTGGGACTTTGCAGGGGGACTAAGAGAAAACGGTAACTACAGATGCACTCATGATTTCTCCTGGATTTGGAAACATGTCCTCTTGCTTCCTATACTACTAAAAACAACAAAAGAAATGTTGGTTTACATGCATTTCAATGATGTGGTATTCCAAGACATTTTCACAAAGTACTATCATCATTTTACCTGAAGTGGTGACACACCTACCTTATCACACCAGTAAGAACAAATTATCTGCACATAAATAATGTATAAGAACATCACCTATACCTGAAAATTGTCAGAGCTACAGCTTCCGTACCGGAGGTAATCGAACGTCCACTTGTGTAGGGCTGGCCAGTGGTTGAAGGCATTGCGTATAATGCATGGTCTGTTCGGACTCAGCCAATCCCGATGAAACTGTAGTGCCGTTGGAGGATCCTCCAAGTAAGAGATACCGTCTGATCCATGGAGCTCTACAGAGGATAGGAAGTTATCACACGTGACATTTAATTAAACTCATGTCACTTTGGGGAACGACCTCAGGGCCCATTCACACTTGCGAATGAAGCCGACTGGATGAGTCTCACGTGAACAGAAAGTGCTATACAAAGCAATGACAGCGTCCGCAAGTAACAGAACATGCTGAGATTACATGTGGGCGATTGCCCCAGGACATCAACACTGTGTATCAGGGGCGATCGCCTGCAGGTAGTTGCAGCATGGGCGATTACACATCAGTCTCATGCAGCAAGTTGTGAGACTCATGAAATTGGCCCCATTTGCAACAATGAACAGGACCTAAAAATCACATCATACATTGGGAGGATTTCCACTCACTAGTATGGTGACAGGGTGTCAGACAGAACAGGAAGTGAGAGGAAATCTCATCAAGTAGGTACAAAACAATATGATAGATCCTAACACTTTACCATTCTATACACATCTAAAAAAAAATTTGGTTGGATGGTTTTGGCTAAAAAAAAAGAGAGTTGGAATCAACTTTTGGAGCTGAAGTTACCACTATGTTTAAGGGCCGGTTCACAGGGATCTCAAGTCTCCCTGATGTTCAGGGAGTCTCCCTCTTTTGGACAGCAGCTCCCTGATGTCCGCGAGAGAGGCATTTTCTCCCTGAAAGGTTTACTCTGAGTAAACCTTTCCGGTAAGAGCAAAAAATAGTGCTTGTACTAATTTTTGAGATCACAACGCAGGCATTCATGTGCCACGCATTCTGGTGCGAGCGATCGCAATGCAATTAATTTAAATGCAACGCCACGCCCCAGAATGCAGGGAGCCGGCCAGGATGCGATCAAGTGCATTCCAGCAGCTAATTGTGAACCGGCCACAGCTGTTCGGGAAATGGCAAGGATCTCTTTAGGAGTCTTTAACCTGGAAGTGCTGAAGCTCTGCTCTGATCACAACAGCCTGGCATTTGGGCTAAGGAGGGGGTACTGAAAGCTACTGCAGATCCCCTCCCACATGTAGTGACAGTGTGTATTAGATATAGTGTATATAGAGACATTACAAAGACATCAGTGTACATTGGACATATAATCACGTGCTGCGTTCACGCACATTCACTAACAATACACTAGAACGTCATTTCAAGGACAGACCTCTTATAAGTGGCAATGAGGCCGTTATATGCAGCAGTGTGATTTCCACGTTCTACACCTCATATGCCCTCTCCTATGGCTCCTGTCACATGCAGTGCTGCCTATCTATGAAGTAATATCACAGTGACCGTGACTTCTCACCCCGGACCTCCTGTGCCAGCTCCTGCACGCTCCTCCGTACTGCATGTGCAGCTGCCATTGTCACACATGGCCGCCTGAACACTCTGCCTGTCACATGACCTGTCCCTGCTGCTGCTCACTGCACGGAGTGCTACAGCGCCACCTAGGGGGTGTGGGGGAGATGACAGTGGTGTGTGGAGTCCCAGTGTTGCTGGACTGTCAGAAAAGGAAATTCATGTCTGTTATATTATTAATTAATTATTATTATTATTATTATTATTGTACATGCAAACAGGTGAATACACAGATGAAATACATACATGGAACCTGTATTACCTGGCAATAGATTTGAATTTCTGTCCATCCAGTCCTTAAGGTTTACACAATTGTGCCACACAGCACAGTCTTGTCTGGCCAAGAAGGAGACCTGAACAATGATGAGCTAATTTCTCTGTCACTCTGTTCCCTCCTTCCATCAGCATGCTGCTTGCACGGCAACACACCTGACTGGCTAGTTGTGCTGCTTCTCTCTGCCCCTCTCTGAGCTCTGCATACAGAGATGGCAGTAGGCTGTTAACCAAGTTGAATTCAGGTACTTGCACTGCTTGAACAAAAAGAAGAAGGTTAACCCGTTAGGAGATAAGGGGTTAGAAGCGGTCAACTTAAGGATCCGGACACGTCAATTGATTGTAAAAAAATATATAATTTTATTGAAAAAACACATACTATTGCACATTGGATTCACCGATTACCATTAAAAACATTATAGAAAACATGCAGCCATGAATTATATGTGGATCGATCCTCATTAATATTAGCCTTGTATCCCCACCATGGCGGGAAAAGTAACCGATATAGCTATTGCTTCGGTTTCTTTTCCTCCATTCACTTTACACACGCGTGTCCACTTTCGTGAACTATAACAATTAAGGGGATGAATCCCAAACAAGGAGAGTAAGGGGGGAGGGAGGCAACGAAAAAGGAAAATGTTCTTCTGGTTTCCCTATTCAGATGTAATGAAGAATTCTATACAGATCTATAACTTGCAACACCAACTTTCTCTGTTTTCAACTGGATAATCACAGGTGTTTTTAGATGTTGCTTATTTATTTGATATTTCCTGTGTGGATGTCTTCCTAATTCGTAGACATTTATTTTTGCTTTTACTCCCAAGTTATTCTATCTTTTGTTTTCCATTTGTTTATTGGAATTTTAAGTTCTCTGTTAAGGGTGGTGGATGCCACTGATTTCAATTTAGCCGTGTGTGCTATTAACTCCTTCCTGCTCATCAGCAATGTGTTACTCTAATTAGAGTGGTGGGGTGTAACAAATCCTTTTGTTTTGAGGGGAGGGAAGTTTTCTCACGGACAGATTATCACTAGATTATCATTAATTAACCAACCGCCTGACTTATTTCTTCTCTTTCTCCTTTTATTTGGTGTTGAGTATAGATGTTATAAATCTCTACCTCAGAGTGATATATAAATGATGTCCTTAGCGGGTACATGTAACACTTCTCATCACTCACGTTACTGTAGTCTTCTCAGAGTCCGGGCGGCTTGGGGATTTTCCCACTGCAGTTCAAATGTCCACCTCAATATGGGCACGACTCGCCATTTCCTCAGGGAGATGTCCGCTGTTGCACAATCTCCGACAGCAGACACGAGCGATGTTTCCACCTCGTGGGTCTCCCTTGAAGTCTCCTGGATGTTCAGGATATAGTCTGTCCGTCTGTGAGAGCCTCCAGCCCCAATTTCGGATTCTTACCAAGGTTGGTAAATCTTTTAAGTTAAGTTTTCAGAATCATATGTCCACTTGTAGTATGTGACTGCAGGTTTAGTTGCTGTCTAGCTGTCGACGCGTTTCACCCCTCCCATTGTACGGGGCTTCGTCAGGACATCGTCCTTAAGGGTGCGGGTGTCCCTGCTCGGATGCAGACAGGCACCTGTACGGAAGTGCGGTTCGGGTGAGCATAGGGAAGTGTACAGCCGCGTACTCCCATAGAGAAGGACAGGAGCTTTTGAATTTAAAATAATACATTAAATAATGTATTATTGATAATATAGCTGTATTAATTTTATATCTGCCCAGAGTTTAGCCTAAAAGCCCAAATCTGGGCACAAGAAGAAAAAAAATACCCAGCCAGTGTACCCCTTTCCCCACCACACTGCAAGGCTCAATTGCTCATTAACTCTATGGATAGAGGGATACCTTAGCCCTCATTCACACGAGTAACAGCCGGCCCGCACAGCTCCGTGCTCGGCCGTATCGGGCAGCTCCTGGGAAGGACAGTTGCTGTGTGTTATTAGTACTCAGCTCCTGTCCTTCTCTATGGGAGTACGCGGCCGTACACTTCCCTATGCTCACCCGAACCGCACTTCCGTACAGGTGCCTGTCTGCATCCGAGCAGGGACAACCGCACCCTTACGGACAAGCCATAAAGGTCTTTGTTCAGGCACTTCCTGTTACCGGGTGTCCGGCTATAAATATCTTTGTTCAGGCACTTCCTGTTGCAGGGTGTCCTGCTATAAATGTCTTTGTTCAGGCACTTTGCGTTACAGGGTGTCCAGCCATAAAGGTCTTTGTTCAGGTACTTCCTGGTACAGGGTGTCCAGCTATAAATGCCTTTGTTCAGGCACTTCCTGGTACAGTGTGTCCGGCTATAAATGTCTTTGTTCAGGCACTTCCTGTTACAGAGTGTCCGGCTATAAATGTCTTTGTTCAGGCACTTCCTGTTACAGGGTGTGCAGCCATTAAGGTCTTTGTTCAGGCACTTCCTGTTACAGGGTGTCCAGCTCTAAATGTCTTTGTTCAGGGACTTCCTGTTACAGGGTGTGCAGCCATAAAGGTCTTTGTTCAGGCACTTCCTGTTACAGGGTGTCCGGCTGTAAATGTCTTTGTTCAGGCACTTCCTGTTACAGAGTGTCTGGCTATAAATGTATTTGGGGATAAATATGGAGCAAAAGCGATACCGCACCCAAAGAGGAAATGTCTAGTAATACGGCAAAGATAAGGGCTTTTAAGGTATCATAGACACCACTGATATAACACAGTAAGTGAAGATTACACCTGTATTTTATACATAAATATAAAAGAAAGTTTGATTGTGCATAAAAAAAAAACACTTAGAACTGTGATTCTTCCTTTATTTTGTAGCATATAATCAAGACCCCTCTTATAAAGATGCCAGCAATATTGATTACTTATCCAATGAACATATAGAGTCAAAAAAATGCGATATTATCCTAATGTCATGGTATCAAGGTGTGCCAATATTCCTCAACGCGTTTTGCGCCCAATATAGGGGCTTCTTCAGGAGGAAAGAAGCGGATGCTCTATATAGATAAATATACATGAAGAGAAGTATACAAATATATCATATTATGTAACATAGTAGCATAGATTAAAATATTGATGCAGTGTATCGTCATATGAATATTTATTGACCTGATACGTGGGTGTGATCATTTGAAGGAAGAAAGGCGTCTATAAAAGCCAAAGGGAAAATCCCTGCAATGTTGTCACCAGCTAGGCAACTATTTGGAGAAAAGAGCTGAATATAAATGTCTTTGTTTAGGTACTTCCTGTTATAGGGTGTCAATCTATAAATGTCTTTGTTCAGGCACTTCCTGGTACAAAGTGTCCAGCTATAAATGTATTTGTTTAGGTACTTCCTGGTACAGGGTGTCTAGCTATAAATGTCTTTGTTTAGGTACTTCCTGTTATAGGGTGTCCAGTTATTAATGTCTTTGTATAGGCACTTCCTGGTGAAGGGTGTCCAGCTATTAATGTCTTTGTTCAGGCACTTCCTGGTACAGTGTGTCCAGTTATTGATGCCTTTGTTCAGGCACTTCCTGGTACAGTGTGTCCAGTTATTGATGTCTTTGTTCAGGCACTACCTGGTACAGTATGTCCAGTTATTTATGTCTTTGTTCAGGCACTTCCTGGTACAGTGTACCCAGTTATTGATGTCTTTGTTCAGGCACTTCCTGGTACAGTGTGTCCAGTTATTGATGTCTTTGTTCAGGCACTTCCTTTTATTGGGTGTCCAGCTACTTCCTGTTACAGGGTGTCCAGCCATGAGGTCTTTGTTCAGGCACTTCCTGTTACAGGGTGTGAACTTTCTCTAATTTGTTCTCCCCTGCTGTCATTCTGTCACACAAGTCCCTGGTGGAGGCTACAAGCTGCTGTACCGACACACATTGCACAACCATGGTCCACTATTGCCACAATCGGTAAACCAGTCCACAGCAATGATGCGCAGCTGAAGCTGGAGCGAGTGCATGTAGACAGAAAATGGTTACAAGAGGCTGAAGCAGATCAGTAGCATGAGGATGCAAAAAAAAAAAAAACACACGGATGAGAAAAACATGGCAGTTGTTTCTCATGTCCAGAGCTTCATAGCAAAATAAATGTCCTCCACTTAGGGTTTAGATCTACTATAAAAAGACCCTGTCGCCAGACCATTTACCAATGATTGGATGTTAAGCACATTCATTGGTTGATGATACCGGAACTTACTGTGGCAGCCATCTTTGTTGTAGGCAGGGACACACTGCGCAGTACGTCCCCGCTGTCACAACCAACATGGGCACTGACAATCAACCTCGGTGCCGGTCTTCTTTGGAAAGGTCGGGCTTGTCGAGTTCTCCGACTGGTGACATCACATCCGGTGACTGCCAGTAGGAGATCGACACCAGAGGGAGCTAGTGTGTATGCCCTTGGAATTTTTTTCAAATCTCTATCTATTGCCACAGCGCCTGCGTGGCGCCCTCGAATTCTATAACCACACTCGGCACTGCTCCAGCGAGGCTATTGGCTTCTATAACGTAGGACATATATAACTTTGTATGAGGTTATAGACTCTGATGAGCCGATAGTCACAGTCGCCATTGCGCCTGCGCGGCTATCGCCTAATATAACCTACGTCAGATATAACTGTACTAGGTTATAGAATCCAATGCGCTGATAGCCACGCAGGCACAGTGTCAAAAGTTAGAGAATTTGGCAACAATTCCATGGCCATGCGCACTAGCTCCATCTGGTGTACGTCTCCTACTGGCAGTCACCGGATGTGACATCACCAGTCGGAGAGCTCGACAAG